ATGAACACTAGGTGGAAAATGGTTAGTTGCGCATCCTTTACAGGACGTTGCAGAACCAACCTCAACAGCCCCTAGCTGTTGTGTGGTTTTTCTAGGCAAAGTTACGTCTAGTAGTTAGCCAGTGCTTCTGGACGGTCGGCTTACTTGATACCACTGACGAAACCGACGCAGGGCGCATGGGCCGCAGCTGGGATCAAACCCGGCATCCCGGCATTACGAAGCGTTCGCATCGACTTAGCCACAGAGCCGAACCTAAGTGGAGAATACTTTTCATTAATCATGATTAATTGGAAAAGAGACGGATGCCGCCAAAAAGCGCAAGCTAGTACGAGAGAGAGAGAGAGAGAGAGAGAGAGAGAGAGAGAGAGAGAGAGAGAGAGAGAGAGAGAGAGAGAGAGAGTCTGTGCAGGAAAAGAGAAGACGACAACACATAATTATAAGAACAGACTGACAGAAGTTACTAAAGTAGCGTACATGGAAAAAAGATCAAAAAGCCCCAGATTGCAACACCAAGAATGAAATCATATCGCCCCCGAAAAATAATAATACAAAACATCTAAATCTAAATATTCACAAATTCGTATTTGAATCAACAAAATGAGCAATGTATCAAATATGAATAACAGATACCCTTGTGTCTAGACACATAGAACCACTTTAGCTATACTTTTTGGCTGTGTTTAGCATACCTGAAATATTCCGACCGGAAAATAATCTCAAATTAATTTCCGTTGTTGTTATCTGAGACTATGTGTATTACGTAATTTCATCCCTTGAACTTAGTTTAAATATTCCTCAGCCGAAGAGGTCGTTTATTTGTGTCTAAAAACTGTTCTGCCGTTAATTATACCAGTAATGAAATTAAAGATGAGATATAACTGGAACAAAGGCCTGTGTTTACCAGGGTGAAAGAGGGGAGAGGGACGGGGCAAGGTGTGTATGTCTGTGTGTGTGTGTGTGTGTGTATGGAGGGGAGAGGAAAAAGGTTGGGAGGAGGGGGGGGGGCCTTTGAAGCTGAAGATTTAGGGCCACATGGCTAATAATGTCACTGCGAACTGTACATGCTAACAATTTGTTTCGAAAGACGAGATCATAAAATAACAAAGGTATAAAACTGAGTAATTGGATAATAAGGGCATTGAAATGATAGGACAATGCAGTGGGAGGTATATTTACCAAGATTTACTAGCCTCTCCAAAACGACACGACAGGTCTCTTGAGGAAAAGAGAAGAGGGGGCAAACCAAGAAAGACCTGGGATGCTTTCGGTTATAATTAGGGCTAGGTTTTGCGCGCCATATAAAATGCATGCCATCAAAAGAAATGACTAGGACTCCTGCCGTGTTGATAGACTCAAATACTGTCCTGCCAGCCGACGAAGTCGTCTAATGGAGAGTCAATGGGCCACCCGGTCGCCGAGGTGAGTGTCAGACTCCAACCTTGGCTGAATCACATGTTGTGGTGAGCCAGTACCCGGGGTCACAATGATCAGGACCTATGGAAACCCAGGCAGGCAGCCCAGAAACCGGCACCCAACTAAGGATTTGGTCAACATAGATAGAATCGACGTTGTCATCGAAGTCGGAGTACTCTGTGAGAGGCCAGCAACCGACAGTTTGAGCACCCCCAAAAAAAAGTCAGACCTGTAAAAGGGATATACAGGCAAAACTGAAGAAGGCATGGAACAAAACCAAAGTCTAGAAGTGAACGAACAACCAGGACTTTCCACTGACGCTTACAGTTGGTGAACATGAAGACGAAAGGGTGTGGAGTGGGCGGGCCGTCACACCCTACAGACAACATTAGTTTTAAAACTCGACTAATCAAAGACATACCCCAACAAAGAGAAAGACAAAATATTCAGCCAGTGAAGCTAACAAGAAACTCATCGCACAGTAGATACAAGGATACACAACTGGGTCAAATGGAAAAGATACAGAAGGAACGATGTGGTGATTAATAAGAAATTGATATCTAAGGACATTTCCATAAGGTTTCCCCCCCCCCCTCTTCTCCTCCCCCTCCCGCCCTCTCTTTTCTGCTCGATGAAATATCGAACAAGTATGGCATGGAAAGTCGGCGTCTGTGGCTAATGCGTTGCGAACGCGCTTAGTAATGCCGGGGTGCCGGGTTCGATCCAAGCTGCGGGTCCTGCGCCTTGCGTTGGTTTTGACAGTGGTATCGAAAAGCCCACAGCCCAGTAAGCAATGGCAAACTACTGGACGTAAATTTGCCTTGAAAAACCACAACAGCCAAAAAAATGTTGGGATTGGTTTTGCAACGTCCTGTAAAGGATACACAACTAACTTATGGCATGGAAATAAACTCAGAAGAAATGTTAAAGGTTACAAATTAAAACAAGTCAATCCTTTCATCTGTGGCTAAGTCGATGCGAACGCTTCGTAATGCCGGGATGCCGGGTTCGATCCCAGCGGCGGGCCCTGCGCCTTGCGTTGGTTTCGACAGGGGTATCAAGAAAGCCGAATGTCCAGAAAGCAATGACAAACTACTGGACGTAAAGTTGCCTAGAAAAACCACACAATAGCCAGGGACTGTTGGGGTTGGTTCTGCAACATCCCTTAAAGGATTCGCAAGTAACCAATCCTTGCAAATTTTTTGGATCCATTTTCAGTGACCTGGGGTCAAGACCAGAAATCACAGAAATCATGTCTAGGATTGCCCAGACAACATCAATTCTATGCCAAGCATCAAACATTATGGCGATTAAAAATTTTTTTCATGCAAAATGAGGTTCGATTGCTCAGAGCCTTCATCAGCACATACACAAATCAAACAGTACAACACAAATACACAAAGTCCCTTAGCAAAGTAAATTGAAAAAAATTTCAAAAACCGTAATGGTAGACAATATAGCCGAGTGTGACTGGCACAAACAGATGGTAATTTCATCCATCAGTAGGTACTGCATTGGATGGTGTGGTCAGTGTCAGGTTAGACACCCCCCCCCTCCCCCCGCCAATCCTCAACCATTCCCCACAGGCAAACAGTAAATATCGCTAGGAAAAAAAAAAAAAGATTCTTTTTACATAATGTTCGTACAAGTCGCTTGGACAGACACCATCCAACGGTCGGACTCTTTGATATAAATGCTGCTTACAAACAGATCAGTCAAAATGTCCAGATACAGCGCTATCAATTCCAGATTTTCCGTGTCTGTTAGCCAAACTGACCTTTTCCTGAAATCCAAAACACCTTGTTTTTGGCCAGAGTGGAATACATCTTCGACTGGGGGAGAGTAAAGAGAAATTGAACCTACTAAACTATCCTCTTCTCTTTTTTTTCTCGTGTCAGTCCTTCTACGTAACTATTTTCCCTTTAGTAAAATTTTTTTTTGGTTTCGCCTTCGGAAATAGCCGTTCCGCTGACAGACATGGAAAAATCGTAGCACTTGGGACAAAACAAGGCCTGCTGTAGGCCTTGGAGAGAAAGACACACAGACAGACAGACATACATACATAAATACATACGCACACACACAAAAGCATTTGATCATACGCAATCACTCACACATACACAGTCACAATACATTTACACAATCACTCATCTTGCTTTATCTCTTTGCAATCATGAATTAGTACGATCAACTAGAACTTTGAGGACAGAAAAAGTTGAAGCATCTGACAGGGTTGAGGTCCCCGTGTGGGTACCGGGGCACCATTTGGGGGCTGGGGCGGAAGGGTGGGGGGGGGGGGGCAAATATACCCCCTGAGCCAGAAGACAAATATTGTACAAGGCGACACATTAGAGATGTTTCCTTAAAAGTCGGAATTCTCTGCCTGAGAGGCTGGAACCCATGGTCTATATACAAATGACCACAACTGCATTTTATCCTTACATAAAGATATCATCATTACCAGGCGCCTTGCCGACTGGCGTGGGCGATCATGCCCCTCCACAATCTGCGATCTCCTGCAGCATGTATCAGTTCTTGTGCTGACACACCTCCATGCCATGCAACAAGACTGTCAAGAATCTCCTCTCGTTGTCTTCCTCTACCCCTCCTTCCACAGATCTTTCCAGTGGTCACAACATTTTTCTTTTCTCCCTCTTCTCATAACATGGCCGGAAATTGATGACTGTCTCCTTCTGACGTCTGTGATAAGTTGTCTTCGGGCTCTAGCCTCTTTTAAAACCTCTTGGTTGCCCAATGTATTCTGAGCATTCTTCTGTAAAACCACATCTCTGAGGCCTCCAGAAATTGTTTGGCCTGCCTACCGATTGTCCTGGATTCACAGCCATATGTTAAAACTGGATGTATGTAGCAAGCAAGAATTCGTTTTCTAACTCTAATGACAAAGATACATAAAAAATATACATAAGAAAACAATGCATACGTGCATCATATGTACGCAATCATATACGCTCAAAAATACACACGTACACATGTACACTGACTCTCACATGCCTATACATACACAGACACATACAAACTCATGCATATTCATACATAAGCAGACAATGGCATATAAACACCCTCATATAAATACACACAAACACTCATGCTCATAGAGACACATACATACACCCATACTATATATATACATACACACATGCACAATCACCTACATACACATATGTACTCATACATTCACAAACACACATCCATACAACACATACGTACATCCAAACACATGCGCTCGCATACATGAACACACACATATATACATTCACAAAAACACCGTCACACTCATATATCAGCATACATAACACCAGAGAACATATACATATACATATACATACAGACATTCACATTCATAGAAAGCCGAACATCAGTACATACACACACTCATACATACACATGCATACACTAACGCCTATACCAACACAAGCGACTCATCATACACGAGCGCCTCATCATACACAGTCACCTTTGTTTTTTAACTCTTCAAATCTGTTTATTTCAATCACACACATCAGCTTAAATCAGTGTAAAAACCTTCCACGGTGAGGTCTACAGTATATACAAACACAAGCTGTCTGCTAACTGGCCGTAGAGTTCATCTCCTCATCCTTAGTGTTCTCATTCTCCTTCTGCTCATCAGCTTCTAGAATGCGCTGAAGCTCGTGGATGGATTTGATCAGCACCATGAATTGTTTTCTCCCGAGCTCCAGCTTTTCTTCCAGTTGTTGCTTGGTCACTGCCAGATTGGACAGCTCCTTGTCCAAAGCCTGAAGTTGCTTTGTGGTCTCCTGTCTGTCCGGCTGCTGCTGTATTATCTTGGCCAGGTTGTCATACTCTTGTCTGTTTTTCCTAATACACTTTGCCAGCAGCAGCTCAGACTTGACCTCTGCAATCCTTGCCGTAGCTTCTTCGATTTTGTTTTCGATGTCCTTGCTCAGTTTCTCGTAATTCTCCTGCTCAATTTTATTCATCTCGTACGTGTTCACAGTTTTCTCAATCGTGTATTCACACTGACCAATCATGGCCTGCATGCGCTGGTACATCGCTGCAGTATTATCATCATCCTCCTTGGGTGCAGACCATCGAATAAAGGTTTTGAGGAGGTTGTTCAGTCTCTTGTCGCCATTGCCTCCTTCACCATCAATGAGTAACCGCCTCCGAATAATATCATCGTCCGAGATGGCCGCCATTTGTATTTACGCTTGGAGATCGTTGTCCATACACAAGGAAACACTGAAATGTGTACAAGCACTCTTACGTACCCACTCAACCTCATACTTACACCCAAAAAACCCACACATACACAAGAACCGAATCATATTAAATCACCCATATAAAAGGTATTAAGTAATTATACTAATTCCATAAAAAAATTAAATAATCAACAGTTGAAGATATAACCTGTATATGATTTAAAGTAAGCACCTTGTGCATTGATACAGAAGGTGGCGCGATCTAACAAACACCGGAACGACCTTTGTAGTTCTTCTGTTATTATGGCCCTTAAAGTCGATGTTGCGGCATTTTGGATGTCATCAATATCGTTAAAGAAGCGCCTTTTTAATCGTAACTTTAATTTTGGAAATAGAAAATAATCACAGGGAGACACATATGGGAAATAGGTGGAAGTCTGAGAACACACAATAGTTTTGGGGCAAAAAATTATTGTTTTGATGATGTCTCTTGTGTACTCAACTCGCTGATGTTTTTGGTCATCAGACAACGAATGTGGTACAAACTGGCAACTTTGTTCTTGCCAAAATCTTTCACTAAAATGTTATGAATGGGTCTCTCTATTAACACCAGATTCATCTACCATTATCCTCACAGTAAAACAATTCTCTTCTAGTATCCGTTCTCTGACTTTTGCAATGAGTTTATTATTATGAACATAAATTTGGCGTTCTGGTCTAGTGCACTTCTGAATCGTGATTTGTACCTGAAAATGTGTGCACGAGACAAATAATTATCCCCATAAACTTGTTGCATCAAATCAATTGTTTCAATGGCGCTTTTTCTAAGTTTTAAAGAAAATTTAATGTAGCTTTTTTTTTTTTTTTTTGCTCTGTGCTGATTACGTAACAATGCACCTCTGACTAGGTGCAGCTTCTTTGTTGTGTGCTTATCGCGCGACGATAGAAAGTTGCCAGATCATAGGTGAATGTTGCCTCTTTAAATTCCTTGCTTTGCTTCATAGACGGCATTTTTGTCCTGGCCATAATAAAATCAGTATCATTACTTAATTATCGGACTTTGTATACATAAGCATCTGATCATACACAATCACTCATACATACACAAGCAGCCACACATACACAATCACCATACACAATATTCCACAGATACATGATCACTATACATACACAATCATCCATGCATACGCAGTCACACATATATATTAAATCACCCATCATGCTTTAACTCTTTGTAGTATGATCAACTAGAACTCGAGGACAGACAGAGTCAAAGCAACTGACAGAGCTAAAGTCCACGTGTGACTGAATGACGTTCTACCCCACTAGGACATCACACAAGCGATAAACACCCGATGACACAAAGTGCCACCATGTGGATGATGATCACCGTGGAGAGGTCCCAGAAACCGCGTTTAGACAATTGGCCATATTTATGGCCTGCCTTTATTGCGGCCCCTGCCAAAGCCGGGGTGGGGCTTCAAATAACAACAAATTTCATCCTAAAAAGGACTTTTGGGTTCAGATGCCCTATTTATGGGAAGAAAGGGGGGGGGGCGGGACAAATAGATTCACTGTCCCCTGACAAGTATGTCGTACATGTAGGCAAATTATAGATGTTTCGAAGTCAGAATACAAATACTGAGAGGCAAGAAGCCAACAGTTTGCATACACATGAACTAGTTTTGTCGAACGGATGTACATGCACAATAAAAGTTCTGGAATAGGACCAACGTCCAGAAGTAGGCCAACGTCCAGAAGTGGGCGAACAGCCAGAACGTTCCGCCGAAGTTTGCAGCCGTGAAAGCTAAGATGAAGAAGAAGAGGAAGACAGAGTTGAGAAGCGGCTGGCCGAGGGGCTGAAATGCTAGACTTTCACGCGGGAGGCCAAGGTTGGAATTCACACAGTAAGGTGATGGATATTTTCTGCCCAGGGGGAGGTTGTAGCCCTAACCTGCACAGTTTGTGGCGACCGCACTAGTTTTGCGACCCTAAAGTTTACTGGTTGATATCCCATAAAGCCCCCCCCCCCCCTCCCTTCCTGGTACTAAAAAGTTAGTTGCATATCTTTTATTGAACATTGCAGAACCAACCCCAGCATTTTGTGGCTGTTGTGGTTTTTCTAGGCAAATTTTATGTTCAGTAGTTTGTCATTACGCATGAACGGTCAGCTCTCATTACCACTGTCGAACCCAACACAAGGCAAATTGTCTGCAGCTGGGACCAAACCTTGGCATAACGAAGCGCGTTAGCACAGATTAAGCCACAGACGCTGACCCCCCCCCCCCCACCCCTCTCCCCCTACCCTCCCCCTCCCCGTACCACACCACCCTAAAAATGAAAAACACAGGCAGCACGACATACTGACAGAATTCAAACTGAAACTGGTAAAAAAAAAAAAAGAGATTTTTCACACGTAATATTCCAACATAATATATACTCACTTCACTAAGAGATGTACACCTTTACAGCAATAGCATATCCCTCTGTGACATTGCTACGGTGCTAGTGTTACAAAAAAAGAAACTAAGCCTAGACAAGACCTTCTCGTCTAGTACAGTCGCTTATCGCGAGCCGAAGGTCGAGTTTCCGTTTATCGCATCTTCAAGTCGTCGCTAGGGATACGTTTGTTGACAATCTAGAGGCAAGAAATCATAACTAGTGCTTTTTATTCATGTACATTGATTGGGCGGATTGTGGTTTTGCGCAGATTGAACAATCCTCTGATTTAGCACAGGACGTAAGCGAATTAGTTGCATTCTCAGACGCCAGATTCCACTCAGGCATGGTTTTTTTTTCTGATAGTACGCACGACCGGCACTTTTTTGTATAGGTATCCCCCCCCCCCCCTTCCCCCCAGCGATGCTATAATACAGTGGCCCTCAACCTCCCGAATGCAGCGATCCTTTAATACAGACTGCCAACACAGTTTCATCTTAAATCCTAGGGGATTGAACTGCCAACACAGTTTTATCTAAAACCCTCTAGTTACGGCCAATGGAATTCCCCGGGGGTATTTATTATCTGGTCCCACGTGTCTCGTCTGTCTACTGACAAAACATCGACCTGGCTGCTTCGGGGTACTAAGCTAGGTGATTTTGTGTGTTTGTGTGGTATTGTTGTATTTGTGTATGTGCCGATGAAGGCTCCATTGCCGCAACGTTCACGTTTTGTTTGTGTTTGTTATATTGTGAAGCTTGCTGATATACGTTCGGTTTTATATCTTTCCTCATGTTGTGGCGACCCCCAGCCATACAATTATTTTCCATGCTACTTCCTAACTTCAGTAAATATATGTTTTCCGACCACCGTGAACCTGGTTAATCCATAAAAGGGTCGTGACCCACAGGTTGAGAACCACTGCCAAAATAGATAATTTGTGGTTAACACCGGCACATTTTTGGACACCTTGTAGTGATATCGGCGCCCTTTATTTTGTAGAAAGAAGAAGACATTGTAACAGGTAGTAGCTGAATTCGACATTTTACTGGTCGTCAACTTTCCCAGTCGCGATCTCTTAAAGTTTGTGGCAAGACCCCTACTCCCCCTTGAGACTGTGAAATGATCCACTCCCTTGAGTGTATTGCAAGATCCCTAACCCCCTTGAGTTTGCTCCCCCCCCCTCCCTTCCCCAATTACACGACTAGACCCCCCTACCTTGAGTATATTTCAAGCCCCCAAACCCCCTTAAGTACATAGCAAGACTGACCCCCCCCCCTCCCCGAGTACATGACAAGATCCCCTCCCTTGAGCATATCAAACACAAAACACCAAACCCATGAGTACATGGCAAGAAACCCCCCCCCCCCCCCCCCCCCCTGTCTGTCTCCATGTTGTTTTTGGGCGCCCCTTTTTTCAATTACTTGGGCGGTTTTGGCCGTTTCAAACATGGTTCTTATATTCCAATTTGGTTTTGACGTCTAGTAGAATTGTTTTCCCATCATAGGCTTCCTTTTGGCTTTGACACATGTTGTACATGCTGACAGAGGGACTCTGTCCCAAGACCACCGGACGTTTAGAGCACTTATTTCCTTCCTCTTGAAGTTTCAGAAGCGTATTTTTTTTTTTTAAACAGGGCAGAGTTGTCAACGCTGCGCCCAACCCCCGAGCCTGGAGGACCGGGAGGCCATCTTTAGTCTGGCCCCTCACCAATGACCTGGCCGGCTTGGGTGACCCTGCTTGGAACATACGTTCCCGCCGGCATAGCTCATTAGATCATTAAGGCTCTCAAGCCCCCCCCCCCCCCCCCCCAACCCCCAACACTACAAGGTAATGGTGTCTGGTGGGAGGATGTATGTGTGGGTGAAGCATAATTATTCACTCCTAGACATTTTGCCACATATGCCATCCATCTCCCCTCGTATTCGCATATAACAAGTTTAAGGACCCAGTTTATGACCCATGATCCCCGATTACATGAACTAATGTCCTATTATGAAAATAACACAGCAATATTGAATATTAACGCCCTCCAGTCTATGTTGAATTGTCGCTATGTTAAGTGCAACTTGTATCTGCTACTCGGTGTTTAGAATTACGCTCCTTATCTAAACGATCGTCAACTCTCAATAATTATAACATGTTAAAAAAAATGTACTAAATTTATTATATTTCTCTCATGCTTCTATTGATTCATCTTTTTCTTCTTCTCCTTTTCTTCTTCTTCTTCTTCTTCTTCTTCTTCTTCTTCTTCTTCTTCTTCTTCTTCTTCTTCTTCTTCTTTTCCTACTTCTTCTTCTTCTTCTTTTGCAACTACCACCACCTCTTGTTCTTTCGGCCTTTTATCCCCGACGTAGCGAAGCGTCCAATTCTCCCTCACCCCCCCCCACCCCCGGTCCTTTAGTCTTTTGCTATTTCTGGTTTTTCTGGTTACTGATTTCGTTTTCTCAACTTATTATAAATTCTCGTATTTTTTCTCCCTTTTGTGTGTGTGTGTGTGTGTGTGTGTATGTGCGTTCATGTGTGTGTGTTTTGCCTTTGTCTCGTTGTTTTTGCTG